GCTTTTTCTTTCACTGTTCTGGGCAAGTTAACTCTTCAAGGACAACACCTGAGAAGGGGAGAGCTTCATCTTCCCTTTCTTTCCTCCCCCTGCCAGCTGTTACCATGGGCCCATTTGTAACTTATCTTAAAAAATGTAGACATCTCTGTGAAGCCCAGCTCAAGGCCAGAGGCCTTGTTTGCACATTTCTTCGAAGTAGTATACTTGATATGTTTGTGAAAACTTGTAAGGGGTTGTCCAGCACCTGGAGTGCTGGTATCTTCTTGGCCAGTGGCCAAGTAAACAGGGTGACATGAAAATAGGAAGTTTATCTACATTGAACTCTTTTGCAGAGACTCTTTTGCTGACAGTCCCAAAATCAGCCATGGTGAAGAGGGCTTTTCTGTGGAGAAAGGGGGTGCCCACTTCACCTGAGCAGGGTCCAGCTCTTCTTCCTATGGTTCAAGGAGGCTACCTCAGCCTTAGCCTGTTCCCTGGCCTGCCTTTCTCTCTCAACTTCCTGCTGGAGGCCCTCAGCCCTCTCTTCGGCATTATCTGCTTGCTGCTGCAGAACCTGAATCTTGTGCTTCACCACCTCTATGGTGGTGATCCTGACCGTGGTACCCACCCAGCGGCTTCTCAATATCTGCCTTCTGCCTCCTCTCGGCGCTGCAGCTGCTTCTCTGTTTCTCATTGTTCTTTCAGCTCATTCTAGATTAGAGCTGCAGTCCATACTATATCAAATTGTTCTTTTTGGGGGAGATAGTTTTTATGTAGTTCACAGCWTTTAGCAATCATTGAATGGGCTATTCCTTCATGAACATATTTTTTTCCTCTTGGCTTTGGTGATATCACTCATTTCTTTTTTTTTGTTTTAAGAGAGAGAATTTTTTAATATTTATTTTTCAGTTTTTGGTGGACACAACATCTTTATTTTATTTTATATGGTGCTGAGGATCGAACCCAGTGCCCGGCGCATACCAGGCAAGCACGCTACCGCTTGAGCCACATCCCCAGCCCCAACTTATTTCTTATTCTCTTTTGCCTAACATTTCTCTCCAACTCTAAATCTAAATGTTTTATGTTCTTACTGAGTCATCGTTTTCCTATTATATTCTTTCTAAATGATCTCATTTAATTCCATGATTTTAAATAATATTTATATGTTGATAATTACTAAATATATCTTTTTCCCTATTTAGTTCCCTACTGGATACCTTCTTGTCCAAGTTTGATAGGCATTATAAACTTAACATAGCCAAGTTAGAACATTTGATTCTCTTTACTACTTTGAATTCCTCGGTTTTTCTACCATCTTTCATAGTCTTTCTGTAAAAAGGTCTTCTAAATGTTTGTGTTGGTCTCCTAAATGATTGCTTCATTTATGTTGTCTTTCCATAAGCAACACTCTAAAAGCCACTCCCATGCTTTAAAAGTCATTCAGTGGCTTTATGTTATTGTAGATTTTTTTGTTTTTGTTTTTGGTATTAGATATTGAACCCAGGATCACTTTACCACTGAACTACATCCCCAACCCTTAGTATTTTGTATTTTGAGACAAGGTCTGGCTATGTTGTGCTGTGCCTCATGAATTTGCCCAGGCTGGCCTCCAACTTGCAGTCCTCCTGCCCTAGCCTCATGAATTGTAGGGATTTCAGCTGTGCACCTGGCTCAACAAGGAATTTTAAAAGTCTTTTGAGCAGAATAGTTGGACAATTTGTAGTGGATTATTCTAAGAAAGTTGAAAGGTAGTTGGGAAATATCTAGACCATGAAGTAATCTACTGTGATGGATTGGGTCATGAGATAGGACACTAAATCAGGGTAGTTGGTGGTTGAAAAGTATGAAGCCCTGGGAAAATACTGATAGAAAGGAGTAATAAGAAGGGAACAGGGAAGATGAAGGTGAAATATTGATTTAAATGAAAGAAACATTGGCTTGGCACAAATAGGATGTTTATATTTTTCAGGACTCTTAGTACAATTTTAACGAAATTCATGTTATATCGAAGTAGAAATGTCTGGTAGGTTTGGAAAAGTTATACCTGGTGCTTGGAAGGAGGATCATGATTAGATATGTAACTCTGACCATAATGGACAGGGAATGAGGTGGTAGGTGCTGATCATCACAGACAATACTGAAATATATAGTTTGGGAGACAGGAGAAGAAAATGAACCATTAAATAAATTAATTTAAAAAGAAATAACTATGGATAAATGGCAGAAAGTTCAGTAGTGGGAAGGGAACAGGGGCCAGTGGGAAGTACTGGTGGGGTGGGAAGGAGAGGTACTAAGGACTGAATTAGAAAAAAATATATCCATGCTTTTGTAATTATGTCAAAATGGATTCTACTGTCATGTATAACTAAAAAGAACCAATTTTTTTTTTTTTTAAAAGGAAAGAAAACAGGCATGACATCTASACTAATCTATTAGGTCCTCTATTCAGTTTGTAGATCACTGCCTATACACCATATAATTAAATTAGATCAGTGTGTCTCCATTCCCCTCCCCTGTAATGGCAGACATTTATGGGTTTGGTCAGTGTAGCCTGAAGTAATGTAAGGAAAGTAGAAAATTTCTTTGAAGTCTATTATCTTTGAAAAGCTTTCAGAGCTCTATTGCACACATGATTTGTTTTCATATAAAAATGTTTAAAAATATTTGGTATTGAATAAAATTGATATGCTGGGCGTATATTACCTTGTTTTTACTTCATGTCACATATTCCTTTTATGTTATATATTCCTCTTCCAATTGAAAAACTTGCCATTAGGAGATATTCTATATAATATTGAAGTATTCTAAACATTTCTTTTCTTTTATTGGGGGGGTGGGTACCAGGGATTGAATTCAGGGGCACTTGGCACTGGGCCACGTCCCTAGCCCTGATTTGTATTTTATTTAGAGACAAGGTTTCACTGAGTTGCTTAGCGCCTTGCTGTTGCTAAGGCCGACTTTGAACTCTTGATCCTCCTGCCTCAGCCTCCCGAGCTGCTGGGATTATAGGCATATGCTACCATGCCCGGTGAAGTATTTGAAACATTTTGATTGAGAAAATGTGTTTTAACCTTCCATGATTTTTTTTTTCCTTTCATGAAATACCTATAAAGTATCCAAATTATATTTTTATTCTACTCTGAATTGGACTGGATGTTTTATATTATGATACTTTGATCTAACAAAAAACTTTTTTTTTTTTTTTTTTTTTTTTT